GGGCAGTTAACAACAACAAATATTATTACACATGGCTGGCATAGTGGTTTGAATGTTGGACTGCAACTCTGGAGACAAGGGTTTGATTCCCAGCTCAGTCATGAATTTCTCCCTTTATATAGTACTTCCATAATTCTTTTCTCCCCTCCCACGCCCATAATTGATAATACTGATTACTGTATTACTCTGGGTATAGTTGATAGGTATGTGTAATGTAATGCAGGTGGTGTGTAATATTTGTTATTGTTGTATGCCTTCAAGTCATTTCCACTTTACAGTAACCCTTATCATGGGATTTTCTTGGCATGTTTTGTTCAGAGGAGGTTCGCCATTGTCTTCCCCGGAGGCTGAGAGCATGTGACTTGCCCAAGGTCATCCCAATGGGTTTCATGGCAGAGTAGGGCACCAGGCCTGTTTGAATGCATTCCAATAGCGATCTGCCAGATCTTTTTGGCCATTGTGAACAGTTCTTTGTGTAAACTGGTCACCTTTGATTTTAACACATGGCTTGATAGTACAGTGGTAGAACACTGACTTTGGATCTGAAAGGTCCCAGGCACCATCTTTGGCATCTCCATATAATGGTGTTATTGGTATTATTACCTTCCACCTTTTTCTCAAAACTGGGACTCAAAGTGGCTTATAAATTAAAACAGATAAATGTAAAACAATTCATAGGTAGCATGGTGAAAAGCTCCTATTTCTGGAGCTCCATGGTTAGTCGCTGCAGACAATACTGAGAAGGGTGGATCAATAATGCAGGTGGATCAATAATAAAGACACTTCTTAAATTCTTAATGCCAATGGCCAGAAATGGACATGGAAATGGAACTATCCAGATGTTTAGATTCTTTCCACACTTTTTCTGAACATGTACTAAAAATTGACAAAATGAACATTGTGATGCATTAGTTCCTTCTGAATGGCTGCAGGAATATCTGTATTGTTTACAATACACTTATAAAGCTATAAATCATCATGCTTATGTTGCAAACTTAGTATTTCTGTGAGACAGGCAATAGTTTTATACAAAGTACCATCCTGAGCCCCACCTTTCTTTTTTCTGGCTGAAAAGCAAAGAAATAAAAGGGAGAAATGCTCTCCGTTTAATGATTCATTTGCCCCTGAAGCAATATCCATGGTCATGTAAATTCTAGTGGAGTTGTATAAATGCCTCTAGTGAATGATGTAGTTGTTGTGTGCCTTCAAGTCATTTCCGACTTATGGCAATCCTAAAGTAAACCTATCATGAGTTTTCTTGGCAAGATTTGTTCAGAAGAGGTTTGCCATTGCCTTCCCCTGAGGCTGAGAGAGTGTGACTTGCCCAAGGTCACCCAATGGGTTTCATGGCTGAGCTGGGAATTGAACCCAGATCTCCAGAATCATAGTCTAACATTCAAGTCATTACGCCACCCTTGGCTCTTATGTGTCTCACAAAATTACTTGGGGTTGCCCCTAGACCCATGTGTCCCCTCTGATTTCCAGGGTAAGGAGCAGTCTTAATTCACTTTGGATTATTTTAGTATTCTTCCTTCCCCAAAAAGGAGTCCTTTAAGTACTATAATTCTGACCTTTGGGGAGCTACCTGGAAGGCAGTTCAAGAACATTAATTGGTCCAAAATATGCAGCCAGATTAATTGTGGCATTAATTTCATGGAGTATACAGCAACACTAGTTCTGTGTAAACTCCATGGATTGAAATGTTGTTTTTGCAATAAATCCAAGGTTCTTGAGTTTATCTTTAAATCCATTTATGGAATACACTTGTCTCTCCTCGTTTGCGGACTTCCCGTTAGTGGTTTTGAGTTTCCGCGGATGGGAAGCCAGGAGGGACAAAGTGGTGTGGCGCCTGTGGCGTGCGCACAGCAGCACACACAGGAGTGCGCCACCATTATACTAAATGGGGCTTGAATATCCACGATTTTTCTATTTTGCGGGGGGGGGGGAGCAGAATGGATCCCCCTGAACTGGGAGGGATGACTGTACTTGAGGAAGTACCTTTTTCCATATGTCCCTTCCCATTATTTTGAAAAATGGATGGGAGTAAAAATATTTGTCTGTATCAGTCCAATTTGACACCACTTTAACTGCCATGGTGCAATGCTATGGAATTCTGGGACGTGCCATAACAAGCTACACTTCCCACAATTCCATAGCATGGCACCATGGCAGTTACAGTGGTGTCAAACTGGATTATTTCGGCAGTACGGATTCAGTCCCACAGTCATATAATTAGCTAGTCTGCCTATCTTCACTGTTGGCCACAGTAAACAGTCATTTTTATTAATTACCCTCAGGGGGTGGAAAGAGTTACCATGTGATGTGCAACAGATCCAGGACACACACAAAATCTGTCACATACAAGGAGAATCTTTTTAAAGAACTGTAAAGACCACTCTTCAATAAGCCTTTTATGATCAGATGCTGTTTCATTTGCAGCACCTGATCTTTCACCCTATGTCCATCTGAAGTTCAAAGGGTTTCGAAATGGCCCTGGATAAATGCCAACAATCAGGCCAAAAATTACAGGTATTAAAATGATGCTGACCTATTTTAACATAAAACATGCCAATACTTTGGCCATCTTCTTAATGGACTCGCAGGTGTGTATTTAAGTAAAAAAGTTCATGTCTTCCTTTCACGACAGCTTTACCTGGTAGGTTTATAAGGTTCTTGATAAATTACTGCAGAATGTGTAAAATCTCTGAAGAAAGACTTTGAAAAGCCAAAGACTAAAAAAAGAAAACAAAGTGTAAAATCATAATGTAAAATCAAACATTTGTAGAAAGGGGCGAAGTGAAAGACGTCCCAATCTCTCAAATTTAACTTAGGGGAATGAACACTAACCTGTGTTTATTAGACAGTGACCCAAAGTATCATCCAGTCTTCTGTGTGTATGTGTTCATGAGAGGTGAGTGGAGGTGTGATGTTTGAAATATTCTACAGTACATGAACTCACAATGACATTTGGAATTATTTTTCATAGCTTGATGGAGTTTCTTTCCAGAATCCTACAGCCTTCCATGTTCTTTCAAGCAACTGAATATGTAAATACTAGATCATTGGGATTTCAGTGAGTGTCTGCAGGGAAAGAAGATTGCTTTGCATATGGTATTCTGAGAACAGTACAATTCTGAATTTTTAAGCAATTCTTTCAAAAATTGTGGACATGTTTATAGCAATTCACCAGAATGATGGCAAGCCAATACTCTAGCAATGTCACACCCTACCCTGCCATCAACCTACCCTGGTATGGTAAACCTAGGTCCAACTGTCCAACCATGTTTCCAAACTAAATTTCATAAAAGTTCAGCAAATTATTACATTGTTGT